TTCTCCTTCTTCTTCCTTTCCTTCTCCTCTCTCCTCCACCTCCCTCTTCTCCTTCTCTCTTCTTCTTCTCCTCCTCTCTCCTTCTCACTCCCCTTTCTCCTTGCTCTCTCCTCTCTCTCTCTTTCTCTCACCTTCGCTCCTCTTACTCCTCTCCTTTCTCCTTCTTCTTCTCCTTTCCTCTCCCCTTCTCACTTTCTCTCCTCTTTCTTCCTCTCTCCTTTCTTCCCTCCTGCCTTCTTCCTCTTCTCCTTCTCCTTTTCTCGCTTCTCCTTCTTTCTACCTCTCTTCCCTTTCTGCCTTCCCTTCTTCCGTCCACTCCTTCTCTCTCCTTTCCTCCTCCTCTCCTCGCCTTCTCGCTCCTTTCTCCTTCTCCTCCTTCTCCTCCTCTCACCTTCTCCTCCTCTCCTCCTCCTCTCTTCCTTTCCCTTTCTCATTCTCCCTCCCCTCTCCTTTTCTCCTCCCTCTTCTTCTCTCCTCCTCTCCTTCTCCTTCCTTCTTTCTCTCCTTCCTTCTCCTCTCCTCTCGCTTTCCTTCTTTCCTTCTTCCCTCCCTCCTTCCTCCTTTCTCCTCCTCTTTAGTTCTCTTTCTCCTTTCCTCTCTCCTTATCTCCTCCTTCTCCTCCTTCTCCATCTTCTCCTTTCCTTCTCTCTCCTCCTCCTTCCTTCCTTTTCTTCCTCTCTCCTTCTCCTTCCTCTCTTCTCTCCTTTCGTATTCTCTCCCTCTCTTTCTCCTTCTCCTCTCCTCGCTTCTCCTCTTCTCCCTCCTTCTCTCCTCCTCCGTCTCCTTCTTCTCTCTTCTTCTCTCTTTACCTTCTCCTCCTTCTCCTCCTTCTCCTCTCTACTCCCTTCCCTTCCATCTCTCCTCCTCTTTCTCCTTTCTCCATCTCTCCCCTCTCCTTTTCTTCTTCCTTCCTCCTCTCCTCGCTTCTCCTTCATCACCTTCTCTCCTTGTCTCCTTCTTTCACCCTCTCTCCTTCTCGGCTGTCTCTCCTCTCTCCGTTTATTCCTCCTCTCCTTCTTACTCTCCTTCTCGCTGTCCTCTATCTTCTTCCTCCCTCACTCTCTCCCCATCTCCGCTCTCCCTTACACCTTCTCCTCTATCACCTGATCCCTTCCTCTCCTTCCTTCTTCTTTTCTCCTTCTTCTCCTACTCCCTCCTCTCCAATCTCTCTTCCTCCCCTTCTCTTCTTTACCTTCTCCTCCTGCCTACTCCCATCTTCTTCACCATCGTCCCCTGTATCTTCTCCTTCTCCCTCTCTCCCTCCCTTTCTTTCTACTCTCTTCTACTCCTTCCTCTCCCTTCCTTCTCCATTCTTTCTCTCTCCCTTCCTCCTTCACCTGTCTTCCTTCTCCTTCTCCTCCTCCTTCCTTTTCTCCTCCTCTCCCCCTCCTTTTCCCTTCTCCTTCTCTCCTCTCCCCATTCTCCTCCTCCTATCCACACCCTCCTCTTCGCATTCTCGCTTCTCCTTCCTCCCGTACTTCTCCTCAACATTTTCGTCCCAACCTCCATACATTCCATTCTCCTTCTCCTCCTCTTCTCCCTCCCTTCTCTCTACCTTCTCTCCTTCTCCTCTCCTCCTCTTCTTCTTCTCCTTCTCCTCTTCCTTACACTCCTTTCTCCCCCTCCTCCAATCTCCCTTCTCCTTCCCTCCCCTTCCATCCCCACCCTTCCTTCTTTCTCCTTATCACCATCTCCAACTACTTTCCCCTACTCTCACTTATCGTCCTTCATTTACATCTCCTCTCCACCTTTTCTCCTACTCTCCATCCATCCTTCTCTACCACCTCCTCCTCATCTCCCCCTCTTCTCTCTTCTCCTTCTCCTCCACTTACTCCTCCTTCCTCTTCCTGCTACTCTTCTCATTCTCCTCTTCCTTCCCTCTTCTTTCCGCTTCCTTCCTTTCATCTCATCACCTCTCTCTCTCCTCCTTCTCCTATCTCTTCCTTCACATCATTATCCTCCCTTCCTTCTCTCCTTCCTTCTCCTTTCTCTCTCTTCTACTCCTTCACTCCAACTCCTTTCTCCCTCTTCTCCTCTCCTTCCTCCTCTTTTCGTCCCCTATTCATTCTCTCCTTCCTTCCCTTCCTCTCTCCTTTCTCTTCTTCCTCTCTATCCCTTCCTTCTCCATCATCTCCTCCCACTCTCCACCACCTCCCCCTCCACCCTCCAATCCTCCGCTACCTACCTCCTCTCCTCCTAACCACCACCACCTCCATCCTCCACCACACCTCCTCCTCCTCCTCACCTCCACCTCTACCTCCCTCCTCACACCTCCTGTACCTCGCTCCTCCACCTCCTCCACCCTCCTTCTCCTATCTCTCCTGCCATCTCCTACCTCCTCCCTCCCGCCCTCCTTCTAACCATCCCTCCGTCCTCCTCCACCACCATCTCCACCTCCTTTCCATCCTCCCACCTCTCCTCCTCCTCCACCCATCCTCCTCCTCCTCCTCCTCACTTCCTCCACCTATCCACTACCTCCTCTCCACTGACAAACCTTTCTCCCCCGATCCTCCTCCCTTCCTATCACCTCTCCTGTCCATTCACACTTCCCTTCTACTCTAGCATTCTCCTTACTTTCTCCGATCTCCTCCTCCTCCCTCCTCCTTCTCCTTCTCAATCCTCCATCTACCTTACCTTCCTCCATTCCTCCCCACATCTCACCCCCACTACTTATCCTACATCACCCGCACAAAATACTCTATTCTCTCCCCAACCTTCCAACTACCCCATCTTTCAACCCAACACAACTCCTCCTCCTGCCTTGTGTTGAGAGTGTGTGGCTTATAATTGTTTTAGTCAGAAGTGCCAGCTGTCAAAGTGTCAATATTGTCTCATTAGTCACCTACCCCTAACCTAAACCTCCTAGTCAAAACATATGGGTCGGACGCTGCTTTCCTCCCCTCCTCCATTTCTATCTAATTATCTTTCCTTCTCCCTCATTCTATATCTTTCAATCTGTCCTCTCATTCTATCTGTCTGGTCTGCCAATCTCTGTCTCACAGGTACCATAAATACAAGTATACATAGGTGTAAATTACCTAGGCTAACCCAAGAAAATCCAGACAAAGTGCTATACTCTGCTTGAAGATGTTGAAGTAAACGTGATGACACAGTCTTGTGGCTCCTCTGAGACAGAGAGCTAGATGACAGACAGGGAGCTTGACAGACAACAAATAGACAACAGAAATGATTGTGTACCAGGCAAAAACAAAGGGAGTGCGATGGTCAGTAAAATTACCCCTCCTTTACGCTCTCAAAGTCAGTCTCTATCAGATGTTATCTCCACTTATCTCGTCACTGGTCGCATGGGGTGGACTGGTTTTTTTTTTCTTGCTTCAAGGGAACAATATTATTACATCTTTCTCTTCCTCCTCC